GATTGCTGGTGAACTAGGGAGGTGCATTGGGGTCCCTGCCTCCTTCCTTGTTCGGGTGGCTGTGGTACTGACTGGGTTGGGGCAGCCAGTGGTTTTCAGATTTTAGGGTACAACAGGATTGTCTGGGAGCGTGGCAACAACACAGACGCCTGGACCTCACTCCAGGTCATTGTTTGGTGGTTGGTGTCAGTGCCTACCGAAAGGACGCCAATCCAGTTACTCAGTTAAAAAAAAAAAAAATTAAAAGTCGAGGGGATTCCTTTAAACTTTTAACTTTTTTCTCATTAACTAGAATGTCTTCATCTGTTTACTTTTTAGCTAAATAGTCTCTTTAACTGATTAACTGGAGTTAATTCCCATTGGCCACCAGAAAGGTCAGTGAGATTAGCTGCAGGAGAAAACATCTAAGATCACAAAGGCTATTTTGTTGGAAGCCAGAGGAGATGGAGAAACAAAGAGCAAAAGATGGTTAGGAGGCTGGCTAGAAGAAAGGCTTGTCTGAGCATTGTTGGCAAAAGTGGCTTAGCAGGCTTGGACGGTCACCAGAAAATGTTGCAAGGAGCCAAAGTGGAAATTGAGGAGCCCTAGCTTCTGCCCTCCTCGGGAAAGGCGCACGTGGTAGGGAGCTACGGGGATCCCAAGCGCAGGCTTCCTGTCTGCCCTCTGGGTCCACCCTCAGATAAAAGCCAGTGGGGCATGTGTACTCCTGCCTCAGGGTGTCTCAGCAGAGGCTGCTAAGGCTTTGCTGCTGTTAATCTGTGACCCCATGACCTGCATGACCAACACTTGCTACATGATCACATGAAGAAAAGACAACCAAGGTGTGACTGGAAAACATCAGAGAACAAACGCAAAGTCAACCTTGAAATCCTACCTGTCATTAAAAAGTAATATCCCAATCCAAACAAGCTTGGAATTGAAGGCTAGGCCCAACCAAACTTTGAATATTGGCATTTAACATACAGTGTCATTTAGACACAAATGACAAAAGAAAACCACATGTATCTTAAAAGCTGATTATCAAAGAGCCAGAAACAAAAAAAAAAGTTTAATCATATATTTTCCTTTCATCCCAAACCTAGACTAGGCCTGGCTCTAACATCCTGCCTGCACAGGTTGGGGACCCACCATCCCAGGTAGCCTGGACTCTCCTGGTTTTAGCAGAGCAAGTCCCATGTCCTGGGAACCCCCAGTTGCAGGTCATGGGAGGAGTAAGGACTGCAATGCCAGGTTGTTGGGGCTGTGCAGCTATGGGTTTGGGAGTGAAACAGACCAGTGTGTCAACTCCTGGACTGCCACTTACTAGATGTGGATCCTAGCAACGATCACATAACTCTGAGCTTCAGTTCCCTCAGTCTAAAAATGGGGCTTAAAAACCTGCTTCAGAGAATTGTTCGCCAGGATGAAAACGTAAAGGAACGTGAAGCACACAGAGGGTGATGCACCGTGAGCTCTCAGTGATGTGAGGTGGAGAATGTCTATCGGTAACCACAGGCAGTGCAGCTGGGCGGGTTTACCCAGCGGTGGTGGCCTCACTGCGAGGGAGGCAGACATGTGCACTGTTGCCGCTTCCCCCCCGTGAATGTGCAACCCCTGTAACACATGGCCCAGCCCAGGGTCCCAACATGAGACTGGAGATCACCCAGGGACTTGTAGGAGGGATATCTCTGGGGATGCTTTGAGAGCCACTCAGCAGGCGCACACAAGTCATGTAAAAAAGCCACAACCCCAACCACCATGGTTCCTGTGTGCGGAGCATCGAGGCAGGAGCAGGGGACGGCCCGGGGAAGCAAGCTGCAAGCGTTGCTAAGGGCTCGGTGATGATCATGACCCTCCCCGCGGGAACCCTGAGGCCTAGTTAGTGCCGGCAGTGGTACCGTTGCCCACAACTGTCCTCTGAGCCTGCTCAGAGCGCTGGGTTTCCATGGGAATAACCGGGTCTTCTCATTGCTGAGTGACAGGGGGCGTGCTAGTCTCACTGTGGTGGTGCGCGTGCCTCATCGGAGGGGTGCAGAGCAGAAAACGCTGCCCGGCACAGGTGATGACAAGGAGATGAAATGAGACCCTTTCATTTTCAAAGATTTGTCCTTGAACAGCTCTGCTGTCTTTTTCAGCCCTTGTGTGGCATTTACAGGCAAATGACAGAGAGGAAGGAAGCACAGAGACTCATGTAGATGCAAGTGTTTTGTTCACTGAACAAGTATTCGAGCTTCTACTGTGTAGCAGTTGTTCAGTTAAACTCTGTGCCTTGCAATTCACAGCAAAAAATGCCACACAGTGGGCCCCATCTTCCTCCCCAGACCTCCGCCAGCTCTGCCTCAGAAGGTGCACACGGAAGCTCTTGTACTAAGGACGGTTATTGTAAGGTGTGGTCCCCTACATATTGCCCTCTCTATATTTTGACAGCATGACTTCCTGTGATATTACTGAGTATCTCCTGTCATCTCAGTAACAAAGGCTGATACCTGGGGTTTTTTTCCTCCTGTCGGCAATATACTTGACATTTAATGCATCATCAAAAAGTTTCTGAGGTTTTGGGGCTAAAACTCTGAAAGTATTGCTTCCTGTCCCAGAGACAGCTCAGGTACCCTGATCAGCCCACAGTCTATGAAGTAGGGCTGCTTTTCTGTTCTCAGCTTCACCAGATGGTCCCAAGGATTTCAAAGTTGGCCCAAACCCCCTGCACCCTCAGCGAACCCTCTCAAAGGCTGAGAAATGTTCTCAGTCCCAAAACCAAAGGTCACTGGTTCCCATCCCAACCCCTGTCCCTTAGTTCTAGGGTCCTTGAGCAAGTCACTTAACCTCTCTGCTGCTCAGCCTGCTAGGACTTCAGGGTGTGCAAAATGATCTCCAGCCAACAGTTTAGCAGCCAAGTCTCTAGTGTCCAAGTACAGACTTGAACTGCCCTCAGGCCAATAGGGTGACCTGCTATGAAACCGCACATTTCTCCTAGAGGTAAGGAGATTATTAGCATGGTTTTCCCCAATAGCCTAGCACCATGGGAATTTGCTGAACCTGTTCTTTGAGAGCTGGAGTTGGCAGCCGGCAAGGCAGAAATGCGTTCATCATTCATGCCATTCTTCATTCCTCCTGCGGAGTTATGATGCACATGCTCTCAGTCAGACCGTTGGGCTCAAGGATGCAAGGAGGAAGACAGCAGAGCCCGTGTCCTCTGCACGGCTTGTGAACCAACTACTGAGCACAGGGTCATGCTGGGGAAAAGCTGAGGGCACAGGAAGGAGCCCGAATTATCCCAAGAGGTTGGAGAGAGCGGCACCGAGGAAAGGCTTCTCAGAGGAACTAACACTTGAGCTGACTCAGGTTTTCATAAGCAGCTGAGCAGCTACACATTCCAGGCAAAGCAGCAGAGGCACCAAGGCTGCAGCCCCAAGACAGGCAACGCCACATTGATCCACCAGGATGGCCACGCCCCGTGGGCTGTGCGAGAAACCAGGCCCAGGCTGTGCTATCTGCTGAGGAGGATGGCTGTTACTCATTTTAGGTTTTAATCCGGGGAGCCAGCATAGGCTGTACAGCCAGAGGGGCAGGGGCACTGGTTTTGGGGGTCAACCGGACCTCACGTTGAATCACTGCTCTTACTAATGGTGTAAACTCTGGAGAGATACTTAATCTTTCTAAGCCTCCATTCTTTCATCTGTAAAATGGTATAATGCTATCCACCTGTGAGAGCTATAGAAAATAATAAATGTCAAATGCTGAGCACCGTGCCTGCCATTCAATCACAGCAGCTGGTGAAACAGGGAGGTGTTGAGGTGTGCTTTCAGAACTATTACTCTAGCACCATTTGGAAGGTGGATTGGAAGGGAGTAAGACCAGTGGCTGGAATGAACCCAAATGCACGTGGGCGCACACACTCACCATCCTACAGAAAGGATGTGACTTAATTAGAAGGTAAAAGAGGGGCGGAGTTGAAAAAGGCTTCACAGGGGAGGTGACATAGGAAATGGGCCTTGTTAGGAGGAGAAATGACAGAAGAGGAACAGGAGCATGAAAGTCCAAGGTGTACAGGAGCAATGAGGAACCCAGAGCCAGTGGGTCTGTGGGGGAGGGGCGAGGAGGAAGGCTGTCAGGGGTCTGCACTCAGGAGGTACACATAAGTGACCACTGCGGGTGCAGGGCCGGGGCTGTCACGATGAGTCAGGCCAGATCCTGTGTCAGGCCCTGAAGGCCAGGCTAATGAATGTGGAATTCATTCAGTAGGTAGCAAAGAGCCTACTCCTTTATTAGAATTATCTATTTCCTGCCCATTGACCCATGAAAAATTTTCCAGAAAGAAGGGAGACTGCAGTGGAAGTGTTCCCACTGTCCCCTGGCTCTCCTGAGTTCTAAAATGAACCAAATCGCTTCAAGCTCCATTATACCCAAGGCAGAATGTCTTCTCTCTCCCGTGTGCAGAGGTTTATAGGAATAGCCGACTCAGCTCCGTCTGAAGTGCTCTGACTGTCTTAACTCATTTTAACCTCATAATAGGATCAATATTATTAGTTTCCCATTTTATGGACAAGGAAGTGAGACACCAAGCCATTAAGTAATTTACCTAAAGTCACTCAACTAGTAATGGACAAATGGGCCCTCCAGCACAGGAGGCTGCCAGAAAAGGATACAAGGTTTCTCTGTAACACCAGAGAGGGTCCGGGCACACAGGTGGCCAGCATGCCCCAAGGGAAAGCCATGTTGCCATATGAGGGCTCGTGGGAACAGGGTGGGCCAGAGGGACGGTACCTCTCTCCTCCAATCCAGCACTAAAGCACCTGAGCTTTGTCTCCCTTCACAGAGTCAAGCCTAGCTCTTGGGGGGCTGAAGGTCACACTTCTCGCAGGAGCCTAGAAAGGGCGATGTTGTCCCCAGTGCACAGATTGCTTCTAGAGCAGTGAGAAAAGATAGGGCCCTCCTAGAATGCCCAGATCACGAACTGGGAGCCAGGCTCCTCTCTCTTCCCATAATCAACCCCCAAGAAATTCACCCTCAGGTACCTCTTCAGGGACTGATGCTGGGATGAAGGGAATGAGCTTCCTCCAGAGCTGCTTCTTCTCTCCCAGTGGACACCTGTATTCACCTCCATCTTCTGCTCTTAGCCCTATACTGCTCTTCAAGGGACCAGTCCTACCTGGACCATGCCAACCAGAAGTTGTGTGCAGAAATGAAGGCGGTCTCTCAATAGAGTTTCTCAAGGTTATCTGATAAATTTGCAGGTAAGAAGGATTTCTGCTCAAATCCAGTTGGAAAGTGAGGGGCCTGAAGTGAGAAGACCAAATTCCAACTCAGCCTGGAAGTGGGGAAGGAAACACAGGATTAAACAGTGTTTTGAGGACAACCATTAACCAGTCTGTGCCAGACACTTCAAGTCTCTTACCTGGGCATCTCCCCCATTTTACAGATGATGAATAGATACTAGGCACCATTTCCTGGTAAGTGGAATGGCCAAGTGAACCAGGAGCCATCTGACTCCAAGCAATTTTTCCACCTGCTAACCTGACGTGTGGAAACGCCTTTCCCAACATTTAATCACTTTCTGCCCAAGAATAAGGAGGCAGCTCTATCAGTACTTTTGCTTCCTAACCCAGGCAGATGAGAAACAACCTAGAAAGTATGTGTTAGGGGACAGGAGTGCTTAGAAACAGCCGTCATCCCTGCACCTTCTCTCCCTCCCCTTCTCTATCACCTTCCCCAGGCATTTGACCAGAAGTGACCCTCCTCCCAACCCTGGCCAACTTAAAGGACCAAAAACAACAAGCATTCTTGCTCTGGTGTGAACTGAGAGAGGACCTGTTTCCAACCGCCTAGCCTCTGGCAAATACTATTTCTTTCCATGACAGCAGACAGAAGTAAGTCGTGCTGCACATGCAGCTCTCCGGGTATTAGTTGTGACAGCAAGGTAGGAGAGAGAAGCAAGGAGGAGGCAGACACACCACCTTGAAAACCTAACTCTGTCTAAGAGACTAACTTCCCCCAGGTCCCTGGGGAGTCATTACATTTTTGTGTCTTCATTTCCTCCAAAGTGGAAAAGGGGTAATAATCCAGACTCACCTCACCGGAGTGCTGAAAGCAGGAATAACTAATTAATGCTAGTGAAGCACTTTAAAAGTAAAAAGCACTTCGCAGTAATTAATGTGGTTTCTGCTTTCATCTCCTGAAGCCTCATAGATAGAAGCAAGGTCCCAGATTGCTCTGCATGGCAAGAAGCAGGCCCAGGTAGCGAGCTTCCTGACAGGAAGGTCTGGGTTGTCTCAGGGCTCCCAGCCACTGGAGACCCATCTGAGCTGACAATTCCTGACCCATCTGCATCCACTTAGCTTTCTGGAGACCAAGGCATTTCAGTTACAGCAAACGACGCACAAATGTGAGGCTCTGAGCAGGGAGCACAGGGCAAAAAGGATTGCAAAGTCTGGGGCTGCTGCTGACTTGCCTTGAAAAACCAAAATGAACTTTTTTCTTCAAGGACTTTGCTTTTATTCATCATCATTATAAAAACAGTCAAGTCATCAAGGTCTGCAGCTGCAGTGAGAGCGTACAGAATGGGCTTTCTGCAAAGCACACGCACAATAATGCTCTCACACTCTTCTTGTGAGCAGCGGGCCAAAGGGGGAAGTCTGGGTTTGGAGCCCAACCTTCCTCTCCATTGGGCAAATTTTGCCAAGCAGAATGTTCGCCTCCCAAAAAAGGCACCTCCTTTATGAGATTGTTCTATCTGGTGAGTGGCCTCACAGAAGGTGGATGTGCCTTTAATTATGTGGAGTGCTGGACCCTAGAGGATTGCACCCCTGTCGCTGCACTCCAGAATGTGACAGAGATTTCATCAGTGCACCACAGACCCTGTTAAAGTTGCATGTGTTCACCCTGTTTATTAGTGTAATATTTCAGGTCTATATGTAAAGGGCTTCTTTGGGCTGGGCTGAGAATCACCATCATAGTAGTGTTTCTTAGGAAAATAGGTTCTGATTTCCAAGTGGCTGCCCTGGCATCTGGAATGCAAGCCATTTGTAAGAAGGAAACCGCCATAAAATATCAGACCCTTTTTTCCCATTATTTCAGAGGTGAAGAATGTGGTTATCTTGAATTTCCTCTGGATGGATGGTGTAGAGGAAGGAAAATAGAAAGAAGGCAAGGAGGAAAAAAGGAACACCACCTACCACTCTTCCCTCCCTACACCCCAATGTGCGACTCCCAGAGAGTCAGTCAGAGGAAAGGCTCAGGTGCTACCGTCCTGGTGATAATAATTCAGAAACCTTAGGGAAAACTGCATTATATGACCTTACCTATGGTTGAAAACCTACCAGACCTACTGATCATGGAAGGTACATGAGGATGATGAGTAGGGTTGGCAACATTCTTATTCATAATGATACTGTTGCTTAACATATATAAACATATTTAGCACTTACAATGTTTCAGATACTCTTCTGAGTTATTTACACATATAACTCACTTAACCCTAACAACCCTATGAAGTAGATATTACCATCATCCCTATTTTACCGGTAAAGAAACTGAGACACCGAGAGGTTATGTAACTTGCCAACGTCACACAGCTGGCATGTGTTACAGCCAAGGTTTGAACCAGACAGTCTGTCTGCAGAGTTGTGGCTCTTAACTCTCTTACATGCTGCCTCTCAGTAGTATTATTCTGGCCAGTTTGAAATGAGCAAAACACCATGCAATTTCCAATTTTTAAGTTTCATTTTACCTTTTCAAAATGCAATCTGTCAGAAGCCTTGAATATTTGGAACTAATATGGCCTTTGAGCTGTCTAAATGGATGTTACAAAGACTATACACAAAAGAGTGACTACTCAGACCCTTGGATTCCTACTGGACACCTGTTTACACACACACACACACACACACACACACACACACACACACACACACCACTTCCCAACAGGTTTTGTTAGCCACTCTCCAAGCACACAATAAATTTGAAGGAAATAAAAGTCTGCTGCAAGCCAGCATGCTGACAGTATCAGGAAAACATTATGATAAAACCTGACAGTAAAAAAGACAGAAAACCCCTAAAAGCAATTATAAACCTTACAGCATGGCAGCCCAGCTTCATGTAATAATATTGAAGAGCCTAAACTCTTTGAACCTCTATTTCAACTTCTTATACAAACAAATACCCTTTTCTCAGTGTTGAAGCCATTTCCAGTGAGGTTATTTATGATTTGCTGACAAAGGCATTCTGCTTCTAGGAACAATGAGATTATTTTGCTAAACTCAGTATACTATGTATAAGAAGGCAGGGGAGTGTGTAATACATTTTTTAAAGACTTACATGTAAAATAGTTACAATTGTTTAGAGCTTAAATAGGTAGATCAGGGATTGGGGATCAGACATTTTTATTTCTTGGTTGTTTGGTTGGTTTGGGGAGGTGCTTGTTATTTTGGGTCTGCACTGTATGGCAACATTTTTTTAAATTCCATTGTTCTTAAAAGGGTATGTGCTCTCTAGTTCCCCTCAGTCCCCACCACTCCTTTTTTTTAATTGAAGTTTTATTTGAAGATAATTATAGGTTCACATGCAATTGTAAGAAATAATACAGAGAAATCCCATGTTCCTTTTCCCCACTTCCTCTCTCCGGTAACATCTTACAAAACTCTAGAACCACATCACAACCAGAATATTGACATTGGTAGAGTCAACGTACTGACAGTTCAATCACCACAAGGGTCCCTCACAAACACCACACCCATCCCATCACCACCCCCATTCTTGACCCCTCAGTAAACTCTCATCTATTCTCCATTTCTATAATTTTGCATTTTAAGAATGTTGATATAAATGGAGTCAAACACTGGATAGCCTTGTAGATTATGTTTTTTTACTCATCATAATTCCCTGGAGAGTTATCCAAGTAGTTGAGTAAATCAATATTTGGTTTATTTTTATTGCTGAGTAGTGGTCCATGGTATGGATGAACCACAGTTATATATCCTCATTCATTTTTCCTTTAAACATAGACTGCTTTCCTCATTTACATGAACTACCTTACCCGTGGGCATTTGAACTTGTGACTTTTGGGGTAGTTTTACCTGGGATGTGGAAAACTCAGATACCTAGAATGATTAACTTCCTCCCAGCTCTGTTTGTGGATTATACATGTCCACAATTTTAATCCCAGGGAAGAAAAGTTCCCCAACACATTGCTGAGTGTCACCCCTTACTATCAGCTGGTGCATACTCAGAAATGAAACATTGAAACCAATTTAACCAGGACAGTAGATATGAACCAAAAGAATCATCCTATAAGACATTCAAAGACAAATACAGAATTCCTTAGAGATGATTCTGCTTTGTTTTTGCCTTCTGGTAGCCAGCTCCTTTTGTGAGCATAGATAAGAAGGATTAAATCCAACCCGAACTCTCGAGCACCTTATCTTGTACCCACCCACCTCTCACTGAGTCCATTTAGACTTAAGAATGTTCCTGTAGTAAGTGTTTTACTCTTTCTTAGTTAAGTTTTCCTTTTCTGTTTGGCTAACTTCTGTGACATATCATCTTTGTTTTTAAATATCTAATTCTTATATGGTATAAATTCTACTAGTCCTAAGACACTTAACAACTTGAAGTGTCTCATATAATATACTTCATTCAATAAATATTTTTGAGTACCTAATCAATGCCTTGACTACATTTAATGATTATATACACTCTTTTCTCATAAAATAAATTCTTTAAGCCACTAGCAGAGTTGTAATTAGGGTCCTTTAGAAAATGGCATCTCATTAATAGCAAATGCTTTAAAATGTTAATTCAACTGACTTGCTAGGATATCTTTCAGGAATTAGATATGTGAAGTTCAATGAGTCTACTTATCTAGGTCTTGGCAGCAATAACCTTCTCTTCCCACCATGATATATTTTCCTTTTACTTTTTACATTCCTTTCCTTAAATTCTGAAGCCTGGATTACTGCCAATACCTCTCTGAATGAAACCCATGAGCATGTTGCTCACTTGCCATCCCTCTGCACTCACTGAGGACCCTTCTTTGCTCCAAGCACTAGGGATTCAGTAAGAATAGCCATTTCACTTGTCCCCCCACATTAGGATGGTAAATATGACTGTAAAGTGAATATGATCGCAAGGTAAGTATGACTTCCAGCTTTATAGATAAAGTCCCCGACTTTCTCAAAAATCTCAGAGTTGATAAGTAACAGAGCAGGGACTCAAACTCAGGTCTGTCTGACATCAAAGACCATTCTCTGGGGACTTGGACAACCAATTTACAGACAACACTTTCACCCACCTCACTAATAATATAAATTCTTACCACTAATCTTCCTAATAATGAACAGTTTCACTTCTTTAGTGCTGCAGATTAGCCTCCCAGGATACAGGATTCCGATGGAGACTTGGGTCCCACAAGGACTCTTAAGAAGTGCTCTGTGGATCAAGACCTGTTGGGGGGTAAAGGAAATAGGATTGGGTGAAGGAGACATTGAACTTCAATGCTGTAAGAACCTGAGCCTCATCTTACCCAGGGGGAGGTCAGAAGTGACCCACATTAAGTCAAGGTGGCAGTTCCCGTGTACCCCACCATAATCAGTCACTGGGTGCACAGTGCCCCAGGAAGTAGGCAGGACCATGGGCCCCACAAATCTCAGAGGGGGACTCTGTGAAGAGCCTCAGCTGCCACCACTCCTGGTTCTGGGGGAATGACTGCTACGTGGGTGGGCACTCGCACCCTTTACTCGTAACTTGTTCTCTCATCTCCTTTCCAAATCTTTCACGTCTCTTAGAAGATTTCTGAACTGGAGAAAACCAAGCCAAACTTGTACATTTTTCCTATCCTTTCCCCCCCGTCCCCCAAAGATCCCAGGATTACTTTTTAATTTATTATTTTCCCTTTCCCAATGAAGGTAGCAAACTTTCTCTCCAGTGCCTCAGCTCACTCAAGAAAAAACTCAAGGGAAAGTCTCCCTATTTCCTCAGTGCCCCAGCCTCTGAAAGGGTGAGCTTGGGTGGTGCGTTCTGCTGCTAGAACTCTGGGGTTAGCCTCTCCTAGTTTGCCACAGCAGTCCTTTTCCTGAAACCTTTCCTTTCCCTTCCAGCCCTCCTCTCCATCCCCAGCACCTCACCTTACCCATGCCCTCATTGTTCCTCACCTTGACCCTGACCAAATCTCCAACCTGTTCCCACTTTCCCTTTCAGATCCACCCTGCTCACCTTCTATTACCCTAGTGATCTTTCTAGACACAGGCCTGCCATGTGAAGGTTTTGTCCCTTGTTTCCAGGGTTAAGTCTTAAGTTCTTTACCCTCACATTCAAGACCCACTTGATCTGACTGACCTCTCCCCATCAACACACATAATACTGAACTGTCTGCAGATTTTCCTCATCCACAACATTATTCCGACCTCCCTGCCTGTTCATATACTTACTTTCCTTCTTTCTGGAATCCTTCCTACACCAGCTTAACTCCTTCGAGACCCAATTATGGCTTTTTCTTTCCTCCAGGAAGCCTTCCCCACCATGAAGTAACCTGGGCTCCAAGGCCTGCCTGACCCTCAGCCCTGCTCCACAGCACTCAGACCTACCTCACCATATCCCACATACTCAGAAGTTATCTGTCTGCAAGACGTGCAACAGGACAAGATCTATCCTGTTCTGTGTCCCTTATAGGCACAAGGAACACAGAATAGGAACTCAAGATAAACCTACTGAACTGAACAGACCAAACCCCTCTTCATTGTCTATGCCAGATATTTCCTTTATGTCCTACAACTTCCTTGCTCCTCAAAATACTGGCTTGCCCCAAATGTACTAATTTTCACTATTTTTTCCAGGTGGTTATCAAGCAAAGGTATCATCCACATTAAGCAAGCTGGTGTTAGAGAAAATCTGTATTGTAAAAGAACATTTAGAATGTTGATTTCTCTATAAAAGACTACTGGCCTAGCTTTCTTTAACTATGAAATTCCAAGTATCTGCACAAAGAGTAGATGCGCGATCTTCAAACTCTGAATGGTGAGGATTCTTTTACTTTTGTCTTTATATTTTTGTATATTATTTGAGTATTATATAATGATCATGCTTTATTACTTAAAATCAGAAAGAAAATGCAAATTCATGTTCATTGTGGGGAAAACAAGGAAAAATTATAGGGTTCTAGATGACTTTTTCTTCTTTAAAAAGATAAAAAGTAGCCCTAACCGGTTTGGCTCAGTGGATAGAGCATCAGCCTGCGGACTGAAAGGTCCCAGGTTTGATTTCAGCCAAGGGCATGTACCTTGGTTGCGGGCACATCCCCAGTAGGAGGTGTGCAGGAGGCAGCTGATCGATGTTTCTCTCTCATCGGTGTTTCCAACTCTCTATCTCTCTCCCTTCCTCTCTGTAAAAAATCAATAAAATATATTTTAAAAAAAAGATAAAAAGTAGAATTATGAAAAAAATAACATTCAAGTCCCTTAAATTAATCTCTAGGCTCAGTAGCAAGAATAACTTGTAAATCTGTAGGACTTTATGTACAAATGCATTTTAAATTATTCAATTTGAAAATTGTTTCTTTCTCTATAATTTCCAGTGTTTATGGTCAGGGCACTATTATGATGTTAAAGACCATGTACCATAGAGTAAGCTCACAGTCCAAGAGCCTCACAGTAAACTAACTCTTGGCAAGTCAATCTGGTTCTCTGAGCCCCCAGTGCTTCAAGTGTAAAATGGGATGATCTCTGCACAGGATTCCAATTAATTAAAACAAGAAAAAGAGACAATATATATATATATATATATATATATATATATATATATATATATGGTTGTTTTAGAAAGTAAAAGACTGAAGAGCCATAATAATAAGTGGTAGAAGGGTTATGATTAATAATAATATTCTTGTAGTAGCCATAGTCCCCATCCCTTGGAGCCCCTGTGCTGATCTCCTTGAGTGCCAGCCACCTCTGGAAGGGCTCCCCTCCCGCTCAAGGCTTTCTTCCAAGGACTGTTTCTGTCCTCGCCACACTGGACCAGCTCCCAAGTACTCTGCTCTTTGCCCAGCGCCCCCTCAGATGTTAACCCCAGGACAGCACTGAATGTTTACACTGCTGGGCCATTATCACCAGCTGAAAGGGCACCCTGAAAGTGCACAGTCTTTACTAAACATATACATGTTCTCCTTTGTCCTTTCTCATATACCTCTTTAGGGAACAGTGTTTGAAAAATGATTTAATTAAGCATTTGGTTGCCCAATCTGGAGAATCTTTTCTTAGCAAGTTTTAGGGAAGAGTCCTGAACTCCGCTGGCTTACATCATCCAATAGAGAAACTAAAATCACTTTTGTCTTCATGAAGTCCCAATACATCCTTGCCAGGTGGGAAGCAAATTGTCTGACCTCCATGAGTTTTCTGTATGATGTATCATCAATTTTCCTGGTTTAATCACACAGCCTGTGAGTGAAGGTGATCAGACTGCAACTAGAGTCTCCACACCAGAACTGCTTGGCCCATGGGACAGTATTTCTCTTCCTTTCTTTCCTTTTCTTTTTTTTTCTTTTCTTTTCTCTTTTCTTTTCAGTAACTAAAAAGAAAGGGAAGAAACAAAAATGAAAGTATTTATTAATGACAAAGGGAATACCATCTTAAGATACTCCCAAAGACCTGGCATCAAATATCTCATTAAAAGAAGACTGGATTCCCAACTTTGCTTTTTTAAAACTCTGAACTATATCCTCTAAATAGCATCTTTGTCTGGGGAAAAACACCCGGTTTATTTATGTGGGTTGATATATATCTGTGAGGGTAGAAGTAGAGAGAAGTCAAGTTTCATTAGTATCACAAAATCAGGAGAGAAGAGCGATTAAGAGCTTAGACTAAAGCACCTGAAACACTTGTGTGCCGTGCCTCACCCCCCCCACCACCACCGCCCCGCCCCATCACCACCAGAATGGCTATATGCACAGGTGAACACAGACTTAGCCTCTCCTCCCCATCCCCTCATCTATGAAATGGAGCCGAGCATATCTGACTCACAGTGGTGAAGGTTAAGTGCGCTAATGAACGCAGACCGCCAAGCAGAGAGCCTGCTGCCTGGTGAGCACTCACATTAGCTATCTTTGTCATCGCCATCATCGTCAGCAGCAGCCACAGCAGCAACTACAAACTTCCAGTCATTTGCTGCAAAGAACTGTCCAAGGCGTGGAAGGAGACGTTTCTAAGCTCTCTTTAGGAAGCATATTGTAGAGCAGCGGTTCTCAACCTGTGGGTCGCAACCCCTTTGGGGGTCGAACGACCCTTTCACAGAGGTCACCGAAGACCATCAGAAAACACATATATAATTACATATTGTTTTTGTGATTAATCACTACGCTTTAATTATGTTCAATTTGAAACAATGAAATTGGGGGTCACCACAACATGAGGAACTGTATTAAAGGGCCTCGGCATTAGGAAGGTTGAGAACCACTGGTGTAGAGGCTTAGGAGGTTATTTATCAACTATAACAATGAATTTAAACCTGTTTGAGAAGCAACCTATTACTATCATCACTTTTCTTGAGCTACAAAGCAAATTGTATCACATAAGCATTAACTTTTAACCATACAAATAATTCAAACTAACTAGTTTAAAAAGTAGGTAAGAGCAAAGAAGAGTCCATTTGCCTGCATATTTGTAGCTGGGTGCTTTTAAGCTTAAATTGGCTATTTTTCAGGAGTTGGCCCACAATCCCACTAAACTATAGTAGTCTCACTGCTGCTACTTTAATTTCACAGTTCACAGGGGCAATCCTATCACTAAACACTAGTCCTTGTCACCATCAACTTAAACTTTTTATGGAACTTTTATTCGCTTCTCCAGTCTTGTGTTTTAAGACATTCTCCCTTTTTCCCCAAATGTGGAGTCACGTCAGCCAGTCTTGCTGAGAATCGTGCAGAACAGCCTGTGCCTCACGCTGTAAGAACATGCTGCCCTATTGCTACAAGCCATAAACTTTAAAGCACAGAATAGCATTCATGCTTCTACCTTTGGAAGAAGATAAAGCACTGACTTCATGGCCATTTGTTTCAGAACTTACTCACATTACAGCCCTGAAAACATCCACTGTTTTGGCCCCGCTGGCTCTCTTGAGGGAGGAGTATACACTTTTACAGCAGAACCACTGTGTAAATTCTCGGGGTTAACCGAAGTACACTCTGGCTTTAGCAAAACTCCCAACAGCTGGTGCTGTGGTCCCAGATTAAGGGCCGTACTGTATCAGCCATCCTCGCCATCCCTGCAGGAATGAACCAATTTGGAAGGAGCCACTGGAGGGCTTCATATTGAGGATATTTACAGAGCGTCGTGACCTTTACTGAATGCTCAAAGTATTCCTACTCATCCAGAGACCCATGAGGCAGCTGACCGGGATGTGCTGAAAAGCAGAGTGAAGGGAAAATAGACTCATCAAGAAGCAGAAGGTCTTAAGGCCCCAAATTAACTTATTCCAAACATCCATCTTTGTTCACAGTCTGAAATTCATTCACATAATTCAGCCAATGCCAGCTTCCAAAGAATAACAAATAGCTGCCAGTTCCTGCTAGGTCATTCTTTGTCATAATATAATTTTGTAAGTCCCCTATTAAATTTGCAAAACCCAAAATTTGTCTTTTGTGTCTTTACATTCCAGTTCTTAGCACAACTGACTGGCACAGAGCCAGCACACCATAGATATGTGTGGAGTGAGTTGAATAAAGGTAAGCATCATACTCCAGAATCCAGTTTTCTGAGAAATCCCCAAGCTTTTGAGGAATGGGGAAGTGACCTTATGGCTCCAGTCACACCATAACTAGAGATGAATATTCAGTTCCACAGATACACACACACCCTCTGGCACCCCACCCCCAAGCCCCATTGTTTCCCTAAACCAGAAGTCAAGTACCAGGATGCAGGTTTTCTGGCATGCACCTCCCTGGAATTCCCAGCACATGTTGACTCTATGAGTAACAGTCTACATTGGCTGCCATTATCTGTAATCAGATAATATCCTTTTCCTCCCACTAGCCAACTGGATTTTGAACCTGAAATACCCTTAGAAGGATATTTTCATTTCAGTTTGTAGTCTGGCTGCAACCTCAGCCAGGCAGGCAGGATGCAAGGGTCACCACACATTCCTCCTGGCTCTGGGAGGCAAAGCACACAGGCCTCTCACCATCCCGGCCTTGCCAGCCCACACCCACACATCACAATGACAGTCATCTCTCTAAAGGCCTCGCTCACCAGCCAGCTTCCCATTAACTCCATTCTTCTGAGGTACTTGGCTCTTCCTAGTTCCTGTGGGATGGCCTAAGTGGGGGGCTATTTTCTACATGTCACATAATTGTGCTTTATTTTCAATTGTCTGGCATCTCTAATACACTAGCTATATGACCTGGTTTGCCACTCTGTCTCCAGAGTGCTTCACAAAAAAAAAAAAAAAAAAAAAAAGTTCTGAATGTGCTTTCCAAATACTGGTCTCCAGTTTGGGGCAGCAGGTGTCAATTTCTTGCCCTAAATGCCCCACTGCTTAATACTACTGAAAGGCAAGTGTCCCCTTGCCCCCCTTGGATGCCTCACCCTTGGAGTGGACAAGGCAGGTGAAGAGCTAGAGCTGGAACCTTGGGAGCAGGAACCCAGAGCAGAGGCCCATCTTGCTGGGTTCTAGGAGTGACATCAGATCATTTCTCTTATAAACTAGACTGCCAAGAATCCAAGAGTGTATCCATTACTTCTTCTCAAAGATTTTTATCTTCTTAATGTATTATTGCTTTTGTTATTTGAAAGTATTTGTTACAATTCACTTATTAATATCAGAATATTTCTATGGATTTCCCATGAAAATGTATGAAAAATAATTTTATACAGTGCATTTATAATTGTATATGTTGAATTATCAATTCTTTCCTGGAAAGAGAAAACTTCCATTTGACAAGGTAATGATGAGAATTAAATCCTCAGCTTAAAATGTTACATATCTGATCAATGGAATAATTTATCACAAAAGTAGCTTCTAGCTCCCTCCATTTCAAACCTTGGTTATCTTCTATTACTCATATATTTCTAGTGCCAGGTGCCATAGAACCTGTTTACATTAACTACCAGCTCAGTCACCGGTAGAGTCAGTACAGTGGGCGTTGGGAGTATTTCTGGAAACCAGTCCAAAATAAGAGTGGCTAGAAATATTTAACTCTACACAGAAATACCTGGGAACCTCACAAATAATATCCCACTAACCCAAGCTAAATGCTTGCATAGCTCCACTTCCCTTAGCCTGGTCCCAATTCAAGGGGAAATGTGATGGAGAGGAAGTCACACTGGAAGGAGTCAGTGTCTTAACCAATTAAAGTTAATACATCCAAGGTGTACAAATTTTACAAAACATATGAACATGCGAATCAACACTTTCCTTGGGCTATCACATAGCTATAAAGCAGGGGTCCTCAAACTACGGCCCGTGGGCCACATGCAAATACAAATATTGTATTTGTTCCCGTTTTGTTTTTTTACTTCAAAATAAGATATGTGCAGTGTGCATAGGAATTTGTTCATAGTTTTTTTTTTAAAACTATAGTCCGTCCCTCCAACGGTCTGAGGGACAGTGAACTGACCCCCTGTTTAAAAAGTTTGAGGACCCCTGCTACAAAGTTTTCTGATGGTGAGACTTGATTATCTTCATGCAAATCCACACTGGTACCATCCAATCAGAACAGATGCTGGTAATGACCAGCTCCATTATCTGTCACTTACTGGCCAAATGAACCTCCTTGAATGCTGACAACTAATGTTCATAAATATCTATAGAGGATAAATGCCCATAAAGACCAGATTCTCATTCTAACATGATAAACGTTCTGTTTTGCCATGCCTTTTTGTTGTTGTTATACACTTCATTCTTGCCTTCCTTTAAACTTTCATTGTCTGGACTCTTAATCTCTTAGATTTTTTTTTATGATATTGCAGCTTGATCTAAGCATAGTAGACATTTAAAAATCTGCATTTTATTAGGGGGCTTCATAAAGGCAGGATCACAAACAACATATCTGCAAAGGAAGATATTGAATTAAAAGGCAAAGAGTAGCTTGAATTAAAAGGCAAAAAACATACATCAGACAAAGGAAGGAATTAAGCTATAAATTGACCCGGTGGACCAAGTCATGGAGAGTCCTAGGAAGCCCACCCTAAGACTGGGTCAAGATGCAGACATAAGTGACTGCTTATTACTTTCTCCTCTACTAGAATGTAAGAAAGCAGGAACTGCACCCTTGTCTCATGTGTTCGCGTGGTACAAGTACAATATAAATAAGCTTTATTACAGGTGAACAGATGACTGATCAAGCATGGGAAACAGTCCTTTTGGTTGGTGGCTAGGAGTCACTGGAAACCTTGGCAAGTGTGATTCTGGCAACAGTGAGGCAGAAGAAATCAGATCAGAGAAATTCTGGAAGAGTATTTTTTATTACAGAATCTCATTGCTGCAGGATATAGAGAGTGAGGGAGAGGGGAAGTACAACTCTAAACAGAGCCAAACACCTAGGTTATCTTGGTGCCAGGTGCCATAGAGC